GATAGATAGATAGATAGATAGATAGATAGATAGATAGATAGATAGATAGGCAGAGAGACAGAAAGATAGATGATAGACAGAATAATTTAGTAGGTCAGCTTTAGGTAGAAACAACAGCAGGATAATAGTTAAGAGCTGAGAACCGGTAGTTACTCAGTCCCTGAGGCTCGTGTCTCAGCAGTAGGAGTCCCACAATGGCTGTCTCTCATTAAAGGGGGGCTGGTAGTTTCTCGATCCACAAGGCTGGGTACCTCAGCAGTCCCAATGCCCAATCTGGTGTTGGAGATCTAGAAGGTTCCTGGGGAAACTTTGGTCCTTAGTCCACAACGAAAGCCTGGAAACCCTGGTGCTGCTGGCCATGATAGAATTAGCAGCAGCAGAAGCAGCAACAATGGGCAAATCCACTCAGCCACAGGAGGGAGGCCAAGTGAGCAGATGGCAAATGATCTTCTTTCTACCACGCCTTTTTTATCTGCACTGCTACCTGAAGGTACCACCCACAATCAGGGTAGGTCTTGTCACATCAATCAGGCCAGGCACGTCTTAGGTGAGGTTCCCTTTGATTCTAATTTATGGCAAGTTAGCATTAAAACTGAACGTGTTACAGGGGAGTCGTATATATGATATAAAAAACTAAAAATCAAACACCAATAAAAGTCACTAGATAAACTGGCCAAGGAACTAAGCAAACAGTTCTCAAAAGAAGAAACACAAATAGACAATAAATACTCTAAAAAGTTCCCAGTTTCCTTGGCAAGCAGGGAACTGCAAATTAGAAGCAATAACCTTAATATTATTGTTCTAGCCAAAGCTGGAACTCAATCCCAAAGCCCATCAGCCAGTAGGTGGATGAATCAATGCAACACCATATATCCATGTGGTGGGATATCATTTAGTCGTGAAAAAGAAAGGAGTGCTGACACATGCTACAACATAGACAGATCTCTGAATATTGTCATGCTAAATGAATAAAGTCAATTGCCAAAGGTCACTAAGATATGACTCCGGTTATGTGACAGGTTCAGAGCAGGGGAAGTCTGTAACTAGAGAATGCGGATGATGGTGATGCCATCCTAAGGAGTCCTAGGGTTGGTGACACAGAGCAAAGGGAGAGGATGCCAATGGACACCAGGCTTCTCCGGGAAACTGAATGGGGCAGTGGTTGCAGAACCCTGAACGGCACATTCATGGTCTCTAAATTATACTAGCAACAGCTGTTTAAATGCAATAGGAATGCACTTCAGGGCACTGTCGTCCAGCACTGTAGAGACTATGCAGAAAGGTGGCAAGTTTGTGTAGCCTGAGTTACACAGAATTGAATATCTTCCATAAACCAGTTCATCACACATTGACGCAAGCAAGAGCTCCTTAGGAACCCTGCACAGGAAGCACCCTGCACCAGTCCCAGTGCTGGTATCCACTGTGCCCATCCTGGTGGGTGCTGCTCTGGGCCAGAGAACCTCTTGTAACATTTGGTCACCTTGAAAGTCGTAAAATGAAGCTATTAGTACATAGATGGTTTTATTGAATATTAACTTTATTAAATCTCAGAGATACTTATGAGTTAATTTTCATATAAACCGAAAACACAAAATCTTCACAGTTCATGAACCACGTTTAAGGAGGTGCGGGGTCCCACACCAAGCACCTCTAAGATGCACAGTCCGCTTCTGAGGTCTGGGTCTCCTTCGCAGATCCCACATGCAAACAGGGCCTCACAGTATTCCCGGGGGGGGGGGGAGCCGCAGGAGCTGCTTCCTTACAGCTGGACCCTCCCTCTTTGATGAAAACTACAGTAGACATTCAAGAGCAGCCCTCCAGCTGGACCCTCCCTCTTTGCTGTAGCGTGAGAGGGATGAAAACTACAGTAGATACTCAAGAGCATCCCTCCAGACAAAGAAGCTCCCTGGGGCTAAAATCAGGCCTTGGTTAAATTTCCCAAGCATAGCACAGGACTTGTTCAACAGAAAGCTCACTGGGTGGGTGGATGGATGGATGGATGGATGGATGGATGGATGGATGGGTAGATGGGTGGATGGATAGATAGATGAATGGATGAATGGATGGACTGACAGACAGACAGACGGATGGATGATGAGTAAATGGATGGGGGGATGGATGGATGGATGGATGGATGGATGGATGGATGGATGGATAAATGGATGGCTGAGTGGATGGATGGATGGATGGATGGATGAACGGACAGACGGGCAGACGGGCAGACGGATGGTGAGTAATTGGGTGTGGATGGATAGATGGATGGATGGATGGATGGATGGATGGATGGATGGATGGATGGATGGATGGATGGACGAACGGACAGATGGACAGACGGATGGTGAGTGACTGGGTGGGTGGGTGGATGGATGGATGGGTGGGTGGATGGGTGGGTGGATGGGTGGGTGGGTGGAGAGTTGGATGGAAGTAAGGGAGAACAGACTGATAAAGGATACAGAAGTGACTCAGGGGGACTATAGAGAGATATAGATTAGATTAGATTAGATTAAATTAGATTAGATTAGATGGATGGAAAGATAAATGGATAGATGAAGGGGAAGAGATGAAGAGAAGAGGTGAAAGAAGCAGAAGAGAGAGAAAAGGAGAGCTGTATGTATGTATATATTCATGTATGTGAGATGAGCAGAGAGCCAGGCTGTTGTAGGAGGCTGCTTCTTTGCTCCCGGCTGCTCAGCCCCAAAATAACCGCATAAAAACTGTATTAATTAAATCATTGCTTGGTCAACCATTTAAGCATATTGCTAGCTAGCTCTTACATCTAGAATCAACCCATTTCCATTATTTTATATTTTACCACTAGGTTTGTGGCCTATCGGCAAGGTTCCAACTGGCAGCTCACATCTTTCCCCTCTAGTGGCTCCATGGCATCTTCCTGACTCCGCCTACTCTCTCTATATAGAGCTCTTCCAGTCTGGCTATGTTCTGTTAAGCCATTGGCTGAAAGCAGTGTCTTTATTCATTCACCAATAAAAGCAACACATGTACAGAAGGACCTCCCACACCACCGGGCGCTTTGATGAACATGTGATGAACTGAGGTCCCACGGTCCTTTGACCACTCAGGAAACATAAAGAACAGACCAGCTTTCTCTAGGAGAAACCCTACCTCATGTCCAGACGGCAGAACACAATAGGCTAAACCCACTGGGCCCACAGTGGGCACCACCTGACACTGGCAGAGTGGACATTGTAACACCTGGCGTTTGCCCTTGAGAAGCTCTGAAGTGAGACAAGTCCCTGGAGAAGGAACTTGTCTGCCTGAAAACCTCTGGAGTTGCATTCTGAGGTCCCAACAGGACAGAATGCTTATCATGGGTTGTGACCATGGCCCGTCTGAGTCCATTTCCACTAAAAGATCCCTTCACATGGCCCCATGCATACCATATTCGTAAGTAGTGGAAGCCATTTTACTTTTAACAGGTGAGCTTCTAGAGTCTTGGATTTGCCAACAGTTGACTTGTAAAAGTGGCTCTCACAGCATATTTGGCCTACCCCACCACTGCTTCAGACTCCCTCACCCCAGAGCCTAAAAGGTGAGCAGAGATAGGCAGGACCCATAGATACTGTCTCCAGCTCCAGAGACTACTCAGGGACACTTCAAACCCTCAGGCTCAGATTCTGATGAAGCCAGATGAACCTCTGAGGAGTTAGGAGCTTGTTGTGCACGCTTCTGCCACGGCTCACCAGCCAGCCCAGCGACTGTCACTGTCCTCTTGGCTCCCTTGCCCTCCATCTCATCCCAGGAGGGCCTCAGGGGTATCCCAGCTTCCTCCTCTCTTTTGACACTTTCTTGGTCTTTCTGTGTCTCCCGTTCTTCAGCGATCCACACCTGAAATCAGACAGTAAGCCAAAGACGTTCACCTCAAACATTCTGATGAGGTCATCCTGGCCAGTACTAGACAAGAAGGGTCTAGGCTGACCCGACTGGGTTGGTCCCTATACTTCCTGCTGAGATTAAAGGCCATAAGCCATGTTCGAACATACCAGCTAGCCACAGGGAAAGGACATTTTGCCATGGTTGCATGAATGAACCCAAAGGACAGCCCAGCTAAGACTTGAATAAGGTCAGAGCAAAGCAAGGAAGCCGTGCAGTGGGCCCTAGCATTTGAGAGATGAACAGATTCGATTAAACACAAGTCAGACTACTCCAAAGCAGCTCAGGTCATACTGGGCATGCCCACGCTTCCCACGTCATTACCCTCCACGGTACTGAACAATGATTGACGTGATATTTATACTGCACTGGGTGCCTGGGTCATTGAGAGCTGATGCCACAGGCGTGGGAGGATGAATCAAACAAGGACACCATTTTACACAGGGGAGACTTGAACATCCAACTTAGGGCATCCAAGGAGGGTCTTGAAACCAGCTTCCACCAGAGATCTTAGACAGCAATGCGGACACTAAAAGAGACTTACATAGATACAATCTACATGGGAAGTAGAAAGTAAAAAAAAGGCAAGATCTCCTGAGTAAATTGGGAGCATGGGGACCTTGAGGGGAGGGTTGGAGGGGGGAGGGGTAGCTAGGGAGGGGAGCAGAGAAAAATGTAGAGCTCAATAAATATCAATAAAATATATAAAAAAAGAAACCAACTTCCATAGACACCAAGGCACTACTCTACACTGAAAGGGAGCTGGAAGCGTCTGTGCTGATTGTTTGTTTGCTCATTCATTTGCTTGCTTGCTTGGGGGGGGGGTCTCATGTGTTCCAGGGTGTCCTTGGACTCTCCACGAGTTAAGAATGACCTGATCTTCCTGTTTCTACTTCCAGGTGTGGACAACCATACCCACTTTCTACAGAGTTTCAAATAGGCTAGGCAAGCACTCTACACCCCAGGCCTCGCTTAATCGGGGTTATTCTGTGTGAACGAGCAGCTTGCACAGATTATTAAATGGGAATCCTGGTGCTAGGGATAGGCTACGCCATACAGGGTGCTCTGTATGAGTTACAGGACAGGGAGGACCCAGGGTTCCAGAACAGAGTTATAGGACAGGGAGACAGCAGGGGTTCCAGAACAATACAGGCTACTGTACCGTGACTGGTTCCCATCAGAACTACAGGACAAGATCTATTGCTGACAGCACCACGTGTTCTGGCCAAAGGATAACAGGATATCAAGCCAGAACTAGAAGCTTGCTCCCTGCTGGGCAGCCCAGATAATGTCAAGAGGTGTGGCCAGGATGCTGTGGAGAGCTGTCCTCGGCGGTCATTCTCAGCCGGGGACTCAGCATGCAACATTGCTGATGGACCAGGCCGGATGGGTCCACTGATGTAATAGTGTAGTGGCATTTCGTTTGTATTTTAAATAAATAAAGCTTGCCTGAAGATCAGAAAAGTAAAACAGTCACACTGGCCAGCCTTACAGACCAGGCAGTGATGACACACACCTTTAATTCCAGTAGCCACGCTAGCTTGCCACAGAAACCAGGTGGTAATGGTGCACACCCTTAATCCCAGAACTAAAGAGGAATATAAAATGGGGGGAGACAGCTCTCAGTCTCAGTCTCATTCTGAGATTCCTGGAGGCAGCATGACCATTTTCAGACTGAGGTCGGGGTAAGAGCCAGTGACTGGCTGTTTTGCTTTTCTGACCTTCAGATTGAACCCCAATTTCTGTCTCTGAGTTTTTATTAAACATGCTAAATAATAGTGCGAAATCTGCTATGGCCGGTTGCTTTAGGACTGGATGCGAGGCCTGACCTACAGGAGCAAATTCACGTCTTGCACTGTAAGTTTATTCAAAGGCCCACGGCCAGCGTGGGCCATGGACCCCAAAGGGGAAGCCACTAAGGCTGCTTTACTAAATGGGCATGATTGCCTGTTACAGTAACCATGGGGTGCTGCTGCTGTTAGTTTTGGTCAAAAAAATCTTCACCTTGAGAATGGCCGGTGCTGACTATGGAGACCCACAAGTAGTCAAGGTCAACGTACTGAGAGTGAGTGACAGACATGTGCTCCGCCTCCAATGTGACATCCTACCACCCCTCCAAGGCTCAGGAACATCGCGGGAAAGAGTGTAGAAAGAAGGTACCAACTGGTGGGATGATGTCTTCCAGGCAAGGCATGGCCACTGCACTCTTGAATTCAGCACCTCTGAGCACCTGCCCAGAGCCTATGGAAGACCAGGCCTCTCAGCATTCTGTGACAGCAGCAGACTGGGCTGGTGAGGCCCCATACCTCCCTGAGGTTCTATAGGCAGCTACTGGTTGAAGGATGTGTAGCCGATAGGTAAAAGTAGGACCAGTCAGGGAAAGGAAGAAGGCCAGTGGGAGGGGAGAGGGAAGCCAATAGCTATGATCAAAATATATATATTGGGAGATATTATAATAAAACTCTTTGAGTATGATTCATATATGCCAATATAATTTCTTTTCCTTCCTTCCTTCCTTTCTTTTTTATGTTTTCCAGACAAGGGTTCTCTGTGTAGCCCTGGCTGTCCTGGAACTCACTCTGTAGACCAGGCTGGCCTCGAACTCAGAGACCCACCTACATCTGCCTCCTGAGTACTGGGATTAAAGGCGTGTGTCAACATCACCCAGGGCCAGTGTATTTTTTAAGTTGGTATTCTGCCTTTGAGAGTGCAGACATTCCCAGACATACATGCATACGTTCAAATGCTCCAGAACTCCTGCTGCTTCTTTTAAAAAGAAGTTTTAAAACTCAGTGACCAGAGGAGGCCGACTACTATAAGTCTCTGCTTGGAGCCCTGGCAGAGCCCTAGGTTAGCCCAGCACATCTGTCAGCAGTCGAAAAAAACAAGAGCCCCTTTCTGCCAGGCAACAAGCGCTAATGCTTGCCCATGTACAGCTTTCAAGGATGATTCAAGATTTATTGGAACATCTTATGCCTCTGCAGAATCTTCTATCTCCAAATAATTGGCATAACAAAATGGGCAGTGTGGTTTCTAATATACAAGAGTTAGGTTTGAGAGCGGACTCTTAAGGATTTAAGAGCATGATCTGGTGCACATAGGGGCTGGCTTCAGGGCAATCTCCAAATCTTATCAAATATGGAGCACCAAGATACTAAAAAGGACTCTGTAACCTTCCTTCCTCCCAAGACTGGAAGATGTAAAGACCTAACACCGTCTTCCTCTTTCTAGCAGCCACACAGAGGAGGCAGGAGGAATAAGCAAGGTAGATTCGCCTTGCTTCTGTTCTGGTCTGTAGCCAAATTCCAAATTCAGGTTTTTTTCACTAGTTCTCTAACGATATCAGGGGTCAGGTTCCTAATCTCCGCCTGACTTCATTTATGTTTGTCTAGCTGAGAGCCTGGACCACAAAGAGTCTAACTATAAAGACTTCTAACCCCTTCCCCTTTATCCCAAGACAGGGAAATTTTTGGCATTTAATCAGCAACAACATGGCCCACTGCCAAATAGGAGCACATAGCCCAGGTGTCCAAGGAGCTGCCAGGCAGTCACTAAAAACGACCAAGGTGGTCGCTGGGAAGACAGGAAGGCTGTGGAATGACGCATTGATAGTGTACCTTATGGCTTTCTCCGTGATCAAATTGTGTGGGTCCATCACCCTGAGAAGTCTGCCTCGGGGTGTTTGTGTCCTCTTCAGAGCATTTAGAATGCACTGTGGTCCCTAAACAAGAGAAAGAATAAGCAACAGGGCTAGCTCCAACGCTCAGGACCCCTCCCAACACACTGCTGCCCACTCCATCTTCCCGATCCCCACTTTGACTTCGGCACTCCCCTGGGGACAGCTGCAAGATGTCACGGGATACAAAGTGTCAGGTGGTTTGGGGCTGGGAATGGAACTCCGGCCTAGGACAGTGCTCAGCATGCCCAATGCTCTCTGGCTTCAACCCCTAGCATCATATAAACCATGCATGGTGGTACACCCTTGGAATCCCAGTATTCAAGAGGAGGAGGAGGAAGGACCAGAAGTTCCAGGTCCTCTCCAGCAGCACAGCAAGTTCGAGACCAGCCTGAGCTACATGAGTCTGCCTCAAAAAAAGAATCAAAATGGTGGCTCTACTCAAGCGCTTCCCAATGGGAGGGGGAGAGAGTATCTGTTGTTCTGAGCATTTTCCAAGGTCCTCTCTGCTCACAGCTGTCTTTACTTACAGTTAACTAAATGCCCCGCCCTCACTCGCTGCCAAGTCAGCACTAATTTGGAAAGGGTGACCTCCCTGTCCTGTACACAGCCCCACACCCTGAAATCAGTGTGGGTCCTGGGAGTCCTCTGTGGGGGAAAATAAATGCAGTTCTTACATTTGAGCTGAAGGTATGTATGTGTTGCCTTTTGACTACACAATAAGCAGGTCACTCAGTTGTTACCTATGTAGGTATATTTGTAAACGTTTGGGTAACTGCAGAAATTAGCAAAATTTGGTTTGATGACAATTTAAGCATCTGAAAACCCTCTGTACACTTTCTCTCTCTCTAGTCTAGTTTCTGCGTCATACAGGAGTGACTGCCCATGGACTTAATAGTTTATAAGTGAGAGAAGAACCTTCGTCGGCCTTATCCGCTGACTCTCTAAAGCCTGAGAAAGTGCCTGCCTGGACCATGGACTGATATCAAATGAAAGAATGCACAAAACGATGGCTGGATGGATGGAGCAGATGAATGCAGACTTCCATCATTCCTGATAGTCTCGCATGCTATGAGATAAATCATGCTAGCGAAATCAAATGTTTACTTGTATTTTATTCCTAACCATTTAATGTCCCAAAGATTTTTATTTTTCATTTTTACAACCCAGCCACAGTTTCCCCTCCCTCCTCTCCTCGCAGTCCCCTCTCCACACCCCCTTCCTTCACTCCTTTTCCTGTTTCTCTTCAGAAAAGAGCAGACCTCCCATAGATATTGGCCAGCTGTGGTATATCCAGTTGCAGTGAGACTAGGCACCTCTTCTCCTTCTAAAACTGGATGAGGCAATCGGGTAGGAGGAAAGGGTCCCCAAAGCAGATAACAGAGTCAGAGACAGCCCCTGCGCTCCCTATTAGGAGTCCCACAAGAAAGTCAGACTACACAACTGTAACATATAATCAGAGTGCTTAGACCAGTCTCGTGCAGGCTCCCTGGTGTTTGGTTCAGTTCAGTTTGGCTCAGTCTCAGTGAGCCCCTATCAGCCCAGGTTAGTTGATTCTGTGGGTTTTCTTGTGGTGCCCCTGATACCGCTTGGGTCCTACATCCTCCCACCCCCACTTCCACAGGATTCCCCCAAGCTCTGTCGAATATTTGTCTATGCCGTTCTGCATCTGTTTCTATCACTTGCTGGATAAAGCCTCTCCGATGATAGCTGGGCTAGCACTACTCTATGAGTGTAGCAGATTTTTTTTTTTTTTTGCCAGTCCTGATATATTGTTCTATTCTAGATCTCTGAGTTATCCTGTCTCTGGGTCCTGGCCCTCCAAACAATATTAGGGGTAAGCTCTCTTTCATGATACGGGTCTCAAGCATAGTTTTCTTTTAATACACTAGTTGGAAAGGTACGAATCTGGCGAGCTCCAGACGGTCAGGTACATGATGAGGGCCGTGAGGAGCGCCTGCAGCAGTTCAGAACTGCAATGCGGGACAACGACCACTAGAGGGAGCCATAAAACCTGCCACAAAGCAATGTTCAACAAAAACCGTCTCTGCAGGTTGATTTGACTCTCCACACTCCCGGAGACTCTGATCACCATAAAATTGTTGTTGCTACTGCACTGTGTACTGTGTGGCTAATGAGAACAAGCTGAAACAAGCCCAGGGCTCCAGTTTGCTGGCCCTCGCTCTTAGAAAAATAGGACCATTTTCCCTCTCAAATAATTCACATCTCTCTATATATAACATATCTAGGGTTTTGTTTTAGGTAAACATAAGTGAAAGAAAATCATTTTTCCTGTGGATGATAAGGGAATCCATGCTAAATTAATCTGGAAAAAGGAAATTGTGAACTTTTAGAAATGAAAATAATTTCTGGAGCCATATGCAATATTTCCCACCTCCAGTAACTTTGTTGTTGGTTTTCTTTCTTTTTTTCAAAAGAACATTTCCTTGTTGACATATTCAGTTTCATCCCCTGCAGTAAAGAGACTCCAGGCATGTGCAGACTGACGTGGTGATCACATCAGAAGGAATTATGATCCTATCATAGGTCAAGTTTCAAAGGTTTCCCATGTAACTGAGAACAGGGAAAAACTGCATTTCCCACAAACGTCTTCTCTCAAAGGGTCTGGAAAAAAAAATCTAAAAATTCCCAGGGTCATTACAAGCCACAGATGTTATCAGCAGCCAGGGCCATGCAAAATTTAAAAAGACCCACAAATGAAGGTGCTTCACACACAGATCTGCCAGCATTTGATGGGGTCCAATGACTCTCCCTTTGCAAGATGCCCGTTCAGGACCTCTCCAAAGTCAGACGCCACCGACTCCTCGGGGAGGCCTGCTCACAGGCTCATTCCCACCACGCGCAAAGTGGCAGAGTCCCTTTAAATCTGTGGTTTTCAACCTGTGGATCAAGACCCCTTTGGGGTCGCATAGCAGATATCCTGAATATCAGATGTTTACATCAAAATTCATAACAGTGGCAGCTATGCAGTAGCAATGATCTAATTTTATAGTTGGGGGTCGCCACAACGTGAGGAACTTGATTAAGGGGTCACAATGTTAGGAAGGTTGAAAGCCACTGGTCAAAACTGCCCAGGAACCCGGAGGGGGACACTGAAAACAAATCAGGGTTTAAAGAATGAAAAGACCCTTAATTTTTTTTCTCAAAAAAAAAAATACAGAATTTGAGTAACCTAATTATAGCCTAATTATAACAATGATTCTTGTTGCTGCAAAGGATTTCTGGAACATTCTCTGTGAAGGTCCTCTCATTTGCTGTTTGTTAAGTGGGACCTGGCGACTCTCAGCGTGGATTAAAGTGACAGGTTTGGCATCTGATTTCCAGACCAGCTTCCTCCGATCAGACCACACAGACTCCTAACTCTTGAAATAAACCCCCAGTGGAATTCTTCACCAGGAAGTCATCTCTCCCCAATTAAGCCAAAGCTTCCTCCTCCCCGTCCAGCCCCTCTGGCCAGGCGGCGTCCACATTCCGATGCACATCTGCGGTTTTCACTCTCAGCCAAGTAACGGCGCCTGCCAAAGCCCAAAGCCGGACCCTCATTTGTGAAGCTAAAAAACCTGTGCGGATGGCCAGCCCCATGCCCAGGGGCGCAGGCTGGCTTCCCTTCCCTCCCAACACAATGCCACAGGGCAAGTCGCTTAACTGCCTCATTAGGGTCACAGTCACAGGCCTGCCAGCCTCCTTCCCTGGTACTCCTTCACCTCATTAATATCTGTAAGGACCCATTAAGCCTTGTAGCTGAGGGGAGCCATTAAGGCAAGACCTATCACTATTACCATCAATAAAGTTCCAGGCACTCGCCTGTCAGCAGCTGAGTTAAATCAGTCGCCCAGGTAGAAAGGCAGCCTACACCTCGGGGCCGTCGGCCCCTAATGAGACACCTGCTTCTGCAGAACCATCCCCACGAATGTGACGGGTGCCCACGTCACGGAAAGGGGAAAAGGCAAAACTGCTGGAAGCTTGTCTCCCGGGTACAAGTGGCACCTGTGGCTGGAATGTCCCAGCACCTAAGCCCCCTACCCTGCCCCTTACATGGAACCTGTAATATGAAATCTCCCCCGCACCCGCACCCGCTCTGCTCCCCCGTGGAAGTCAGACAGCCACCTGTAAATCCTGGGACAGGCATGTTCGCATCCCGCTCTGGCCATCTGAGGGTCCTGCCTCCCCTGGGAAACCTGCCATCAATTTCCTACCTTTCTCCCTTGGAGATCCCTCTATCCGAACCTCACTGATGACCCGGGGCACTGTCTGGAACCCCTGGGAACTGAGGACAGGGGGGGGGGGGGGGGGGGGGGGGGAGCTGTCGTCAACAGGAGATAAACGGTAAGTCCGCAGGGCATCATAGCACAGATGAACGAGGAACTGACCAGGCCCCATTTGTAGCTGAGAAGCCGCTGGAGGTTCTTTGGCTGGGTAAGGATGGCTATCTTCCTTTTGCGGCCATTCGTAGATACCTATGCCCTCGTGGTCGACCCAACACCCAAGCGCACACAGGAAGCACTGACCGGATGCAATGAAATCTAAAAATTTTTAAATGATTTTACAAAGAGGGTGTGAAGTTAGGAAGGATGGATTTCATCGTAAGGCATTGTATACGTGGATGAAATCCACACAAAAAGTAAAAAATAATAATAACAATAATAATAATAGTGAGCTGATGTGGGCTAACACGAGATGGCTCAGTCGGCAAAATGTGCGCTGGGTAAGCATGGGGATCTGAGTTCGAATCCTCAGCACCCATGTCAAAGTCAGGCATGACTTACTCTGTAAGTCCAGCACAAGGACAGGAGTGGGAGAATGTCCCTGGAGCTCACTGGCCAGTGGGTCTAGCTGTGAGTACCAGACTCACCGAAAGACCTTGTCTCAAACTTTAAAACGGACAATGACAAAGGAAGACACCCAATGTTAACCCCTGGCCTCGGTGTATACATGCACACACCTTACAAACGTGTACCACACATGTATGTGCACAGAGTGATTTACACAGCACTAGGCAACATTGCCATGTGGCCACGGACACAGCCTGCACACAGGGACGGATCGGGCTATCACAGCAAACCCTAGTCATCTTTGGAACTCTCAGCCATGTGCACGTTACTCCCTCAAAATAACACAGAGGAACAGAAGATGATCTTCGTAGATGTTCATTGGCTAGCGGACTTCATGGCCGTTTCCCTAGCAGCTGATCTATGTAGTGGTCTATCTGTTTAGATGGAAGCCCTACTGGCATCCATATATACCCAAAAAGAATATTTGGGATCTCCAGTTTGGGGCCCTGTTATTCTTTTGCTCTGGTCCCTTTAAGGGCAAGCCACGCCCACTCCCAGCCACTTCTGACCTCCTGGTCGCCATCTTAACCCTTTCTCTTCTCTCCCCGTCTCTTGGCCTGTATACACGTGTTTTTTCTCTCTCTGTCCTCTTTTCTATTTCTGCCTTTTTTTCCTCTCCTTTTTCTTTAAGTAATAAATGTTTACCCTTATGTTTATTTACTATGTCCTGTGAACCTTTTATAAGCCGCACCCGCCCACCTGACTCTCGGGGCCCGCATGGCGGGACCAGCCTGCCACCCTTGCAGGGACCCACGGCCGTCCTTGTCAGACTAGGGCTGCTCTGCGAGCCTGCCAGGGAACATGCCAGCATTAAACAACAACAGGCCCCATTCCACACTCAGGTCTCACCCCTCCCATTCTAAACCCCACCCTCAGTGCCCCAAGAGGCGGCCCCGTCCCCAGAGCTGCTCTCTTCAAACTCCGCCCCTCCTTGGAGCTGCTCAAGACCACACCTATAGGCTACTTCAGACTCTTTGCCACGTGATTCCTCTCCTGCCCTCCTGAGGGTCACCCAGGAGTTGCTTTGTTCTGTTCATTAAACCTGGATTTAATAATTTGGTTTGATTAGCTTAGTGGCAGCTGATTTCCATTAATGGGGATTCAAACCCTTATCACTACCTAGTAGTTGGTCTTTGTAGGGGTCTATCTAGTAGCGGTCTTTGTAGGGGTCTATCTAGTCTAACTGGAAAAGTGGGGACCATGAGAGAGCTTCCAGGTGCAGAGCCGAGGAAGATCTTTTGGAGTCGCACAGATGAGAAGGTCACGGGTGAGAAGAAACACAGAACAGATGCCCCCGCTGGGTCTCCGTCCCTCCTTTGTTCGGCTACATACTCAAGACCGCAACATCTGCGTGAATCAGACTCAGTCAGTGGAAGAGAAGCTGCCCCCATGTAGGGCAGCTATGGGTACTAAAGCAGATGTCCATCCCACTCACCGTCTTGAGGTCTTGCCTCCTGAAGACAAACCTTGAGCCAGATGTTGGTGCGCTGGCCCCAGGCCCCTGGGGGCTCCACCTCCCACAAGCGCCCTCTCTCGCCTGGATGGATGGACAGGAACCGCCTGAGGACTGAGAGGAAGAGAGGTAGGACGTGAACCTGACTCTGGCCCACCCTGCTTCAGCCAATCAGCTCTCTCTGGACCCTCACAGACGGCCCTTCCAGCCCTTCGGTGGCTACCCTGCCCCTCACTGTCCTGACCCTGCTGCATCCAAACCCCTTTCACCAACTTTCCATGGGTACAGAATCATCCGGTTCATCTCCCACTTCCAACCATCATGCACTGCGTGCCAGGGCTGCAACTATGAAGTAGCCATCCCTGGGTATCCAAAGGCAGTGAAGACCTCTGAAGGCACCAAATCCAAGGATGCTGTATTCACATAAAACGTCAGACATGGTGTTTGCATGGCCAATAACACATCTTCCTGGGCACGTTTCTGTTAGTCTTCTGCTGCCACTTTAAGAACTAACCACGCCCACCCAGCCACTTCTGACCTTCCCCTTCGCCATCTTTCTCTCTCTCTTGTGTGGTTGTCTCCTGTCGTGTGCACACGTTTCTCTCTGTCTCTGTGTCTTTATGTCTTTATATTTGTCTATCTCTGTCTCTCTGTTTTTCTATTTCTTTTTAAGTAATAAATGTTTACCCTTATGTTTATTTACTATGTCTTGTGAGCCTTTTATCCGCCGTAACCGCCCGCCTGACTCCCCCGGCCGCATGGCGTTGCAGGGACTCACGGCCATCCCTGCCGGACTCCGTGAGCCGCCCGGGACATCCCATCATCATATTCTTTTTAAAAGAACAAAAGTTTCATCATCAAGATGCCTTTCAGTAGCTGATGCTGTGTAGACGCCACCTCCAGAGCCACTAGACTGTGAGGCTTAGGGGATAAGGTCACTGGGCAGATCCGTGCATGTCCAGCACAAGTGTCACTTCTGAATGTTTTCAAGCCATGGTCAGTTTGAATTCTGGAATCAGACCCCCTCGGATACGATGGGCTGCCGGTACCATGGCAACACAAGCTGATTTCTCAGGGCTCTGGAGTCAGGGTACCTGGAGTTGGGATGTTCCGAGGCCTCTCCCCTGACCTTCCTGTGTATCTTTTCTCGGTGTCCTCACACGGTCATGTCTGTGTGTATCCCTAGGGCCTCCTTCTTCTAACGGTGCCTGTGATGCCTATGCTTGGCTATCAACTGACTGTATCTGGAATTAACTAAAATGCAAATGGCTGGGCACACTTGTGAGGGGTTTTTTCACCAATTAAATCATTTGAAATGGGAAAACCCCCTTCTAATCCAGATCTTTGTGGCGAGACGATACACCAGGGCCAGGCCTTCTGCTGGCAACCTATAGAACGGACATGGAAGAAGGAAGCTTGCTCTCTTGTCCTGCCTGCTCTCACTGGCAAGACCACTCCTTCATCAGCATTAGACCATACTTCTTCAGGATTCCAGCACATAGGGAAAACCAGCTGAGACAGCTAAGCCTCGTGGACTGAGCAATATGGAATTCTGGGACCTTCAGTTGGTCGAAAGCCATCATGGGGTAGGCTGGACCATCACCTGTAAGCCATTCTAATAAATTGCACACACACACGACACACGTAAGCCATTCGAGTAAGTCCCATATCTACATATGTATATATGTACTGTCTGTAAGGTCTGTTCTTCTAGAGGACCCTGACTAATACAGTGCCAGTCGTTTAAATTAAGGCCCACCCTTTTGACCTTACTTGACCCTAATAACCACTAAAGGAGGACTATCTCCAAACCCATGAATGTGGGGAGGAGGGCACAGTCCAGCTGCTAACATGCTCCCTTTCGGGGCTCCCTTCACAAATCATTCCTCCTCCCCTCCCTCCCAAGCCCCCTCTTGGCCCTCGAAGGCTGGCAAACCATCCACATGTCCTAGATAAGTCCTTTCACGTAGCAGTTGCTCCAACACCAGACAAAAGGGGAAGCCACTTCTGGTCCTGCAGGTAACTGCGAAGACATCACCAAGCAAGCTCTCTTGCTCACTCGCCAGCTCTGGGCACAAGCACATAAGGAAGTGCACTACCTACGGAGCTGTGTGCCAGGTGGAAACATGCTGGGAAACATTGCGGGTAGCATGTCCTGCCCTCTAAGCCTGGCCAGTCTAACTTCTCATCAGAGCAAGGCGGCTGCAATGGTTGAGTCCTTGGATGATGGGAGGTGTGTGCATCAGAATGTGGAGAGAGTTGAGCGCCGGTTGGCAGCCCACCCTTCTCTGCTGCCCCTGCTGCCACTCTCATGGCTCACAGGGGCTGTGCGTACAGTAAGGACACCCACCCACACCCCAGAGAGGTCCCTGGAACTCAAGACTGTATGACTAGGTGCTGCAGTCTACCCTTGGGAAGACAGACCCAGGACTGAAGTACAACCAGACCTTTGGTGGGCAGTGGCTGGCGTTTGGGGGTCCTAATACCCTGAGCAGGTTTAGAGGCAGCAGCAGGCTCAGTTAAATACATTTCCTTGGGTCCTTGGAGTTCTCATCTCACAGAGAAGTGTAGCTGAACGGGCTTTAAAGAATGGGGTGTAGGGGGGTAGATCTCTTCAGTTGAAGGACAGAACTGTCCTCAGTTAAAGGCTGCTAGGGGTGGAGGGTGGCTGAACCTCCAAAAGAAGAATGATCCCAGGTTGGTATATTTGGGTCTTTCTCTGCAGGCAAAGACAAGGAATCACATGAGCAAGGCATGAACTCTGAAACAGCTCTGTCTTTCCTATCTACACCCTACTGGGAAACAAATGGCTCTTCACCTCCTTTAGCAAGGCAGCCTGAGAGCCTGAAGTAACCTGTACTGGGAGGGGACTCCAGAGGGGTCTCAGGAGAGCATAGAGGATGCATCTGAGGATGAAGGACTGTTTGCCTAGGGACCAGAATTGCCCCCACTCCCAACCCAATAGTCAAGTACACCATGCAGGATGCTTCAAACACACTCTGAAAAAATGAAGGGCTTTTCGGAGGCTGATAAAATGGGGTGGGGGGGTGCCAGTGAACAACTTAAACAGCACTGGGGACTGAACTCCACCGCTTCCCTCTCTGGCTGCGGAGTGACAGGCCTTCCCGCTGTCTCCAGTTTTCCTCTCCTACCACTGTTTCCCAGAAACACGAAGGCCCCAGAAACCCAATCCCAAGGCTTCAGAACCATCGAGCCAGGAATTGAGTCGGGTGGTAACTCACACCTTTAATCCCAGCTCTCGGGAGGCAGAGACAGACAGATCTCTGTAAGTTCAGCAGCAGCCTGGTCTACAAAGCAAGTTCCAGGACAACTAAAGCTCACAAAGAAACACCCGGGGTGGGGAAAATAAAACAGGAAAGAAAAGGAAAGGAAAGGAAAGGAAAGGAAAGGAAAGGAAAGGAAAGGAAAGGAAAGGAAAGGAAAGGAAAGGAAAGGAAAGGAAAGGAAAGAAAAAAAGAAAAGAAAAGAAAAGAAAAGAAGAAAGAAGGAACCGAGGCTGAGTTCAAAATAAAGCTGGCATGCTTCACACGGGGGAAAACCCTAAAATGACATGCTCTACACTCTGCCATCCTTGGTGACATGGAATGTGAGTGCAAGGACAGTAAAGACCTCAGGAGAGACCCAGCAGGGTGGCAGCAGTGGAGGGAGGGTGCCTTCTCCTACAGTGAAGGTGTCAGAGGAGCTGAAGCCGTGGCAGTGCCCTTTGAGATCTCCGGCCTTGCCACAGCTCGTAGTTTCCTGCCATGCGTACATACGACTGTGCTAGGGGCAGAACCCAGAGCCTCACGCGTGCTAGGCAAGTCTCCCACACCAAGTGCCATCCACAGCCCTAACCGTTGCAAATGAAAAAGGAGGGTCACCGCAGGGCCCTGGTGCAGTTCCCTGGATTCTGTGTGTCCCTGAGATCTTTGCTTCCGATTACATATGTCCTCAACTTATGGTGACGCTATACCCCAAAACAACCGTTTAGGTGGGTAATGTGTGCAGTGCGTATGATACATACAGCCTACAGAGCAACCTTGACTCTTGCGCGTGCTAGAGGGCCCTGAGATGGCTCAGCTGGAAAAGAGACTTGTGCAAGTCTGAGGACCTAAGTTCAGTCCCTGGAATGCATGAGAGGAGAAAATGAACTCCTGAAAATACCCTGACCTCCACCTGAGCACTCACATCCATGTGAGTGTCTGCACCCTTGTGAGTGCATGCACACAACACACATACACATACACATACACAAACACAATGCACACATACACAAACAATACACAAACACACGCACAAGGCACACACGTACATACACAATACACACACAACATACAACACACACACAACACGCGCACACATTTTAAAAACATTGTTTTAAAGAAAAAGAAAACCACTCAGAACAGAGACCCTGCAGGACAAACCCACCTAACACAAGTCTATTCTTTAATCATTCTTTAATCAGCGTGAAGATCTCATGTGGATGTTCGCATCCAAGGCCACCGCGAACACAAACCACCACAGAATCCCGACTGTTGCCTCTCTTCAGACTGTTATGGGCACACACATCACGAGGCCAGGAAAATGTCAAAACTCTAAACACGGAGTGGGATTTCTACTGAGTGTGTATTGCATTCACACTAATATAAAATTGAAAAAAAATCCTAAGCTGTTGGTGAGTCGGGGACCAACAGCATTTTCAAATGTAATCATTTCTTGGGCTCAGAGAGGCCCTCTTTGCAAACCAAACAGGGGCTCTGGTTCTGCTGAAACTGAAAGAGCAGTCACGGCAGCATATCCCCAGAAGCTCCGAGACTCCTCCCCTTCCGTCGCCACAGGGCACGTGTGTTAGCCGGCACCCAAATGCTCACCCAGGACACGGGGTGGGAGTTACCTTTGTACATAGCAGGAGAAATTGGGCAACTGATACCCAGGGCTTCATCTTCTCGAAAGGTGTCACAGAAGTCCCTCAGCATGGCTGTCCCCAGGCCTTGGCTGCGGTGCTTCCTCCGCACAAACACTGTGTCAAAGACAGGCAGCAGGTAGCATGCACCGGTGCCGTCACCACAGAGGCTGCCTGCAGGAAAGCAAGAGATAGGTGCTGTCCCCCCAGCTGCATGCTGACTCCCCCAGATCTCAGGGGTTCAGCCAGAGACACTGGTACCGCCTGGGAGCAGAATTAACTTCACAAACAATAATAAGATACCAGATCACACCAGAACACCAGTTCTCTATTGGACCCGCGTGTTTTTCTCAAAGACCCACATAATTATTCGCGAGCACAGAAAATGGATTCGGTCATGGAAATGAAAATGGAGCCTGGGAGACCAAGTGTCGCCAAAGCCTTGTGGACCCCGCCAGACCTCTCTCCTCACCGAGGCCCTTGGAAGCAAGGAGGTTTACTGAAGCAACATCCAAGTTCTCCCCGCGTGGTCAGGCCTGTCCACAGTGCAGGCAGAAGCCAACTGGTTCCGTCATTAAGTAAGGGCTTGTGTCAGTTACTTCAATAAAGGCTTACGGTGTCCAGTTCTGGTGAAATGCATGCCCTCCAAACACATAAGCCCCACACATGAACAGCTGCTGCTGCTGCTGCTGCTGCTGCTGGAGAGGCCAGATGTTGTGCCCTCTCCAATTCCACCTTGAACATCTGTACTGTAACCAATGTCAGCATTCACATGGCTGTCATCCCATGTGATGACACTACTGAGAGAGGTGAACCCTGTCCCTGTCAAGATTCAGAAAATGAATAACTTCCCAAGCCTGAAAAGGGAACATTCAGATTTAATTAGGTGGACTAAATTACAAGATACGCAATACAGTGAAAAATCGTTCCTTGGTCACAACGACTCCCTTCCTGTACCCACACAGGACACAGGATGTGTGTGAGTTTTTAAAGCTCTTCCATCGAGAACTGGGGTCTGTTCTCCCGTTCAGTCTAGGCTGGCCTGTGACTCACTTAGCAGCAAAATGGGGCAGAATGATGTACCAAGGCCTGGATATCATGGGGTCCAGTATGCCTCAAATCGTCTCTCAAATACCTACTTGCCTTACTAAATCAAGTGTAGACCAACCTGTTACTATGAAGGAAATGTAACTTGGGAGTTCCGCTTGTCCCAACAAAGCCCTAGCAAACCCAAGGAGCACAAGCACCTGACCAACAACACGTCACCATGCTCACACGGAAAATCCATCAAGACTAGAAAACCACCCCGCTAAGCCCAGCCCACAGTGCCAAAATTATTTGTGGTTAAATGAAGTTATTCTTCCATGCCATGAGTGAATGCTCAATGTATGTCCAACAAGGAACCTCAACCCAATGAAAACAGTAATTGTAAAAAATATTTGGGATTTCACCGTCAGCATGATTAAAAAGATATTATCAGTTCGTTTGGAAATTCACAGTCTCTATTTTGTTTGGATGAGAACAGGGTCACCCTAATATTAAATCTTCTGGAGCTAAGAAGGTTTAAATTTAAATAAAGATGCAACTCCATTAACCATAAAATTAAAGGAATATATTTAACAAAAGAAGAACAGGCCTGGAAAATGAAAGAGTAAACTATTGAGGGAAATTAAAGATCTAGGTAAATAAAAAGAAATACCATGGTCATGGGTCAGAGGACTCAACAGTTCTTTCCCATTATCCTTCCCATGATCATTCTATAAATTCAAAGCCAGCCCCAACAAAATCCCAGCAAGCTTTTGGTAGCGACTGATCAGCTGATTCTAAATGTATGTGAAATGCAAAGTTTCCTGGACAACCAGCATTGTTTCAACAGGACCAGAGCTGGAGATCTAGCAATGCCGGGTCGAGGGCTTTGTCAGACATCCAGTGTGACACACCACAATGAGCTACAAATCAATGGCAAAACTGAGAGTGCAGAATCCCAACTCTTCTAAAGTTGTGTTTCATTCTTTATTCATTCACTGTATTCACAGTGTGTGTGTGTGTGTGTGTGTGTGTGAGAGAGAGAGAGAGAGAGAGAGAGAGAGAGAGAGTGATAGCAGGTGAGCAGAGGTCAAAGGACAATTTGCAGAAGTCCGTTTTTTGCCTTCTAACATGTGAGTTATGGGGCTAGAATTTGGTGTAGGAGGTTCTTCTGTTCATGTGTTGCTTTCATTGGTTAATGAATAAAGAAACTGCTTTGGCAAAGGACACTGTCAGCAAGACAAAAAGGCTACCTTCTGACTGGGAGAAGATCTTCACCAACCCCTCAACAGACAAAGGTCTGATATCCAAAATATACAAAGAACTCAAAAAGCTAGATACTAAAATTCTAATTAACCCAATTAAAAAATGGGATACTGAACTGAACAGAGAATTCACAACAGATGAACTTCGAATGGCCAAAAGACACTTAAGATCATGCTCAACCTCCTTAGCGATCAGGAAAATGCAAATCAAAACAACTTTGAGATACCATCTTACACCTGTCAAAATAGCCAAACTTAAAAACACCAATGATAGCCTATGCTGGAGAGGATGTGGAGTGAGGGGAACACTCATCCATTGTTGGTGGGAATGCAAACTTGTGCAGCCACTGTGGAAATCAGTGTGACGGTTTCTCAGGGAACTGGGAGTCAACCTCCCTCAGGACCCAGCAATTCCACTCTTGGGAATATACCCAAGAGATGCCCTATCATACTACAAAAGCATTTGTTCAACTATGTTCATAGCAGCACTATTTGTAATAGCCAGAACCTGGAAACAACCTAGGTGCCCCTCAATAGAAGAATGGTTAAAGAAGGTGTGGAACATATACACATTAGAGTTTTACTCAGCGGTAAAAAACAATGACATCTTGAATTTTGCATGCAAATGGATGGAAATAGAGAACGCTTTACTGAGTGAGGTAACCCAGACCCAAAAAGAGGAATATGAACCTTCATCTGGCGATGGATGGAGATAGAGACAGAGACACATATTGGAACACTGGACTTAACTCCCTAGATCCAAATGAGAAGCAGAAGGAGGGAAAACGTGAGCAAGATAGGCAGGACCAGAGGGAACCTTCATCCGACGATGGATGGCGATACAGACGGAAACCCACATTGGAGCACCGGACTGAGCCCCCCAAGGTCCAAATGAGGAGCAGAAGGAGGGAGAACATGAAAAAGGAAATCAGGACCGCGAGGGGTGCGTTCACCCACTGATACAAGGGGACTGATCGAATGAGAGCTCACCAAGGCCAGTTGGACTGGGACTGAACGAGCATGTGATCAAACCGGATTCTCTGAATGTGGCTGACATGGGGGCTGACTGAGAAGCCATTGACAATGGCACTGGGTCTTGTTTCGTCTGCATGTACTGGCTGTTTGGGATCCTAGTCTGTTTGGATGCTCACCTTCCTAGGCCTGGAAGGAGGGGGGAGGAACTTGAAGTTCCCACAGGGCAGGAAACCCTGACTGCTCTTAGGACTGGAGAGGGAGGAGGAGAGGGAGTGGGGGGGAGGAGAGGGAGTGGGGGGAGTGGGAGGGTATGGAAGTATGGGAGGAGGAGAGGAGGAAGTGGAAATTTTTATAAACAAACAAATAAAAAAAAAGAATTAACAAGCATGAACCATGATCATGTTTTATTCAAATGTAAAAATTAATTGAAACATATAATTAATATTAATTTATAGTACATGTAATAGAAACTTTAATGTCTTATATAATCATTAATGCTGCAAGCACAGAGAGATGCTTATCTAGGAATTAAAGATAATCACAGATTTTTTTTGACCTAAAAAAAAAAAAAAGAAAAGAAACTGCTTTGGGCCTGATGGGGCAGAACTTAGGTACAGGGAGAAGACAGAACTGAATGCTGGGAAGAAGGGCAGAGAGAGAGCTGCCATGGAGCCGCCAGATCAGACATGCTGAATCTTTCCCGAGGTGATAAATAAATTAATAGAGGTGAGAGTTAGCCAAAAAGAGGCTAGAGACAATGGGCCAGGCAGTGATTTAATAAATACAGTTTCTGTGTGGTTATTTTGGGTGTAAGCTAGCCAGGCAGCTGGGACAAACAAGGGGCTCTCCCCTCACAATAAGAACTCAGGTTGCCAGACTAGGCAGCAAGTTCTTTCACCCCCTGAGTCACCTTGCCAAGCCCAGAAATCAATGCTTCTATGTTGGTCAACCCAGGTGCTAAGACAGTTCTTTGGGAAGGAAGTAATTTTTGGCACAGATAGCAGTAGAATGATTTGACACACGAGGTAGTGAGCAGCACATTAAACAGTGGAAGAAGACGCTCCTATGAACAGGTCAACACTGATTACAAGTCCCTGACATGCTGAAAAAAGCCAATCTGCAGAGGTGATGAAAATATGTCGGCTGCCAGGGTGGAGGTCGATGAGCTGATGGAGCACAGGAGACTCGGGACAGACTGCCCTATATAACACAGAGCATCAGATGCTTGTCTAGATACACAGAGCATCCAACACTAAGGATGAGCCCACAGGTACACCAAGGCCACTGACTAACAATAATGTGATCTCCAGGCTGACCTCTGTCTCCCTAGCATTCATGTGCTTAAGTCCAAACCCTTTGGAATATGTCTGTATTTAGATAGGCTGCTGTTAAAACATAGAGTGGGATTAATCTGAGGCTGTTGGGCTTCACCCTCATCCAATAGGGTTTCTGTCCATCTAAGAAGAAATATGGACCAAGAGAAATACAGCGGAGATACACAGTGAGAAGGAGGCTCCATGCTAACCAAGGAGAGGCCTCAAGACAGAACAGACCTGCTCACACCTAGAACCAGAACGATGCGCCTCCAGAACTAGATAAAAACAAATTCCTGTTGCTTGTATCAGAGGGTTGTGTCTTTTGTGACGGCCCACACAAACTAAAGAATATATCTGTGTTAATTCATGGACCAAATAGATGCAATGTACTAATCATACCATGCTGGTTCCCTTCTGTCAACTTGACACAAACTAGAGTCAGCCGGGAAGAGGGTCTCTCAGCTGAGGAACTACCTGAATTAGGCTGACCTGTGAGCATGTCCATTGGGACATTTTTTGTATTAATGATTGCTGTGGGAGGACCCAGCCCGCTATGGGCGGTGCTCCACCTACGGAGGAGATCCTCAGTACC